CAGAAGAATTTGCTTTATTCATTTTTGGTTTCACAACCATTACATTCAATTTAAACATATTGTCGGAAACATAACATTTTCCAACAAACATTCCACTTTTTGATGGAATGACTTTGTCTGACTCAAATACAATGAAAATCATGCTTATTCAAAAGCGATTCGGACACTAAATTTTAATGAATTTTCGGCACATATAACACATTGTTGAGAGTCAGCTCCTTTCCTGAGGTCATCTTTAGAACCACCTTTCTTTGATCCTTGATTTCAGAGGTTGCTGAATTTTCCATGAACAGCTTCTCTCCGTTCTTAATTGCTTCGAACGTAGCAAACAACTCTTTATCAGAGCACACATGCCTTGTAGCACCGGTGTCAATCCACCACTCCTTAAGATTTGAACCCACCATGTTCACTTCAGAAATGACGACTGCAAGATTCATTTATGAGACATCTTGTGCCATGTAGTCAACCACGTTTGTTTCTTTCATCTTCTTCTTTGGCATTCTGCATTCCGAAGACTTGTGGCCTACTTTGTCACAATCGAAGCATTTCCCTAGAAATTTTTTCTTAGAAATTTCACCTTTCGGTCCGTGCTTGATCTTTTTTCCATCGGATGGCCCAAACTTGTAATTCTTATTGCTTTAACCATGCTCGACAACATTGACTTTAGCCACACCAAGATTGAACCACTTCTTTTCTGAACTTTTGTTGTCTTCTTCAATTCGAAGTCTAACAATAACTTCTTCAACGTTCATTTCCTTTCGTTTGATGTCTAACAATAAGTTCTTCAACGTTCATTTCCTTTTGTTTGTGTTTCAAATAGTTTTTGAAATCTTTCCATGCGGGGGGCAATTTTTCAATAATTACTACCACTTGAAAAGTTTCACTCAACACCATCGCTTCGGCATGAATTTCGTGAAGAATTACTTGGAGTTCTTGCACTTGACTGATAACAATTTTGGAGTCCACCATCTTATAGTCTAGGAATCTGCCGACTATAAACTTTTTAGCCCCCGCATCCTCAGTTTTTTATTTTCGGTCCAAAGACTCCCACAACTTCTTAGTAGTTTTCATCGTGCTATACACATTGTATAGCGTGTCTGCTAACCTATTCATAATGCAGTTTCGACATAAAAAGTCCGAATGCTTCCAAGCATCAAGTGCACTAATTGCTTGAATATCTCATTCTCCTTCATTGAGTACAGGAGCAGTCTCAGTTAAGAATCTCGCAAGATTCAAGGTGGTTAGGTAAAACAGCATTTTCTGCTGCCACATCTTGAAATTCAAGCCATTGAATTTCTCTGATTTCTCTCCATGATTAATCAGAACAGTAACTGTTTGGCTAATTGTTGGAGCCACAGTTTGACTCATAACACAATTAGACAAGTTAGCCACAGCAGAGCTTGGCACTTAAACTATAGTAGAGCCCACAACTTGATTTTCAACAGGAACAATTTGGGTCACATCCATGTTGGTTGGTTCAGCAGCCATTTCTGATAACGAAACAATTATTAGTTTTCAATAAACAAATAAACGTATTTACTACCAATATGTATTAAGAAATTTGTTGTTATATTTAATCGGTAGTGTATGGAATGGAATCGAGTTCTCATATACCATATTTGTATTTTAGACACCGGATTCACACTTATCGTATTTGACAATTGCTTACCGTATTTGGCATCTGCTTACCGTATGTGGCAGAGAATTAAACACAGAGTTTCCACAAATATTTGTTTTCATACAATGACTTTAGATAACATAGAGTTTGGTGTTTGTTTTCATATAATTTGCACAAACACAATTTCGAAAAAAAAATTCAGATAAATTTTTTCTTAATTTTATTTTTCACAAATTACTTAGATACAGACTATTATCTAAATCACTACTTGAATAAGAATGACAAATTATATTATTTGCCGAAACATAACAGCAGTATAAATTTTAGAAACTAAATAAAATCTAAAAGCGTGTAAATCTACAAATAATTAAACCACAGATACTCAAACCGGAAGCATAAATATTTGGAAATAAACTTTTAACCCCGAGGCCTGTATAAATACAGTTTTTAAGACAAATTCGCCCCCTCACCGTAGTGTTAGAGATTTAATTCGAGCGTCATTTCCCAAAATACAACGGTAACTAGTAGAATTCGAGCACCGCGATTCTACTTCGACGAATTGGGCGAGTGTTCGAACAATATCACCTTACTGAAACGAACACAGGAGGAGACGGAACAAAAACAAAAAACAAAATTGTACGAACGCAGACGAAAATTGTAGTGTATAAACTGCTGGAAATTGAGTGAAATTATACAGACTGAATCTGCCCATTAGTTTCTACATTAACCATTGCAGTTTTCGGAGTTACACTTTGGTTTCGACCATTGGAGTTTCAGGAGTTTCACACACTCAAAAGTCATTTGGAAAAACAAAAAAAATTGCAAAACGCGGACAATCCAAATTGACTAATTTTTTGCTTCGTTCGGTCCGAGATTCGTGTGCGAAGGTCGCGCCCGCACCCAAGTTCAAGGTTCGAAGGCTATTTCTGTCCGTGATTTGCACCCCCATGCGTGCGCACGTGGAGAGAGCCTCTATGCTACACATGATCACACAATTCCAACGCATAGCCATATATAAAGTGATTTTGGTTTTTATATTTTTCCTATGTGGGACAAAGTTAACTATAGTTTTCCCACCAATATAGACCATTTTCAATGGTCCACTTTAAACTCCAAATTCTCATTCACCCGAACTTCATTTTTGGTAAATAAATACATGACTTCGATGTTCTCGTGGAGGAGAACACATATCAACTTTGATATTCCAAATTAGACTAACGGGTCCCACCGAAAATTGTGCCAAAAGCGAGCCGCTCACTCATTTTTTCCAACGGGACGGTGGTAGATTTAATGTTAATAAATTGGTTTTATTGATGATTATTGAAGGAGGTGATAATGGTGGATTGTGTGCAAGTGGTTGTGCGTGGTAGGTGGTATCGATGGTGCAGTGCAGATGGTAGTGATGGTGGTATGTTGGAAGAGGATATGGTGGGAGTTTTTTTGTTCAATCTATCAACTGTCTTGATGTTTTGGATTGCGATGGTGATTGATTGATTGTGATGCTGTTCTCCATTATGCGAATTTATTTGTGGTGATCCTCTGTGACAAAGTCTGTGTTAATTTTGATCAAGTCTGTATTCATTATGACTAGTTATAATTTTATGTATTGTGGTGTTGATCTGCAGTGTGTGTAGATTTATTTGTGGTGACATTCTGTGATCAAATTTGTAATAATTGTGATTGGTTGTAATCAAGACTGTACTAATTATGATTAGTTGTGATCAAGTATATGTTAGTTGCGACTAAGTCTGTGTCAATTGTGACTGTATGCGATTGTAGTATCCAAAACGTTGCTACCACCTCGTTACCACCACACAGATCAACTCCTATACACTATCATCACCTACAACGGACCATCATCGCTACCGAGCAGATCTATTTTCTAAACCAGTTGCCACCTCATTGCCACCACTACCATCACCTCAAAGGTCAAGTCCAACGCTCTAATATCACCTACAACACACTGCCATCACCAATGCACCACCATTCTTTAAAAAGGGATCTCAATATGGTTGCTTTTCATTTTGTTTTTGTATGTGTGTCTATATATATATATATATATAGAGAGAGAGAGAGAGAGAGAGAGAGAGAGAGAATGTTATGACAGGAAATATCTTTGCGATTGGGGGGTGGGGGTTATGGAAGAAAATAATGTGCAATGAGGATAATGATTCCCAATTGGGGAGAGAGAGAGAGAAAGATGGTGCCAATTGCACTGTTCTAAAAAGCACGCGTTGGCGGTGTTTAGGCTTCGTCAATGAGCGATGTGCGACGGAAACGCCAACCAAATGGCTTGGCGCCTTATTTAACGATTAATAGTAATCGTTGACCGATAATTCGGGTCTAGGAGCGGTCATCCTTACCTAGGCACGCATAATTATCATTTTTTTTAATTTTTTATATATTTTTTTACAATTCTTCTAAATTGAAACTTAAATTTTAATTTCTTTACTTTGTCTATTCTAAATACAAAATAGTCGTTTGAAGCCTTGAACAAAGAAAATTTCCCAACAAATTCTATTTATTTACTATTTATTATTTACATTTGGAACTTACATTTTTGTTGAAAACTTAGAAAAAATGTATAAATTTTCTATAAATTTGTTTTAGATATTTGGCAGGTATTATTTTTAATTATTAAACGATTTTTTGATTGATTAAAAATTAAACTAATATTAAAAAAGAAAAAGCTTTTTTACGTTTTTTTTATGCCTATGACTCACTTAAGTTCGTCTAGCCCATAGCTTGGCCTTCAAGAATCGTCGCGCATTATGAATTTTAGAACACTGGCCAATTGTATATTATATATTTCTTGTATATTATTATTGTATTTACCACCATAGATTTTGAAACTATTTTTTGTGTGATGCGGTGGTGGTGGAGGTGTGCGATACGGTGTTGTGTGCAGTAGTTGGGTGCGATGGTGCTATGTAGTGGTGGTAGGGTTTGGTTGTGCTATGCACGATGGTTGGGTGCGAGACGATGATCAGGTGCGATGGTAATGTGTGGTGCTGTGTTCGATGGTTAGGTTGGGTGCATAGTAGTGTGCAGTGGTGATGTGCCGTGATCTGTAGTGCGTAATCTGTGACAATGGATTGGGATTGGAGGTAAGGACTGTGGTGTATGTAACCAACTACTTGGTTAATACATGACCAACCATTTAATTGTGACCTAAAAATTATATATTTGTGATTGAAAAATAATTTGTGACTAACTTATTTGAAAATTTGTGAATGACGAATAAACTATGATCTATAAATTTTTTGATTTATCACTGTGAAATAATTTATTGTCAATTAATTTGATAATAGATTATCAATAAATAAGTTCCTCACTTATAATTATGCATTTGTAACCACTAACTATAACGTTGACCTATGAGTTTTTCAACCAGCCATTGACCCAGTACTGTCCGAAGAGGCGAAGACCCCGCCGCCGCGGCGCCTGCCTTTGTCTGTGTCGGTCTAGTCCCGACGGAACCATAGACCAAAGTCTATTGAGAAAGCATTAAAACAGAATCCTCCACTACCACTAAATTGGAAAGAAAATTAACTGTAATTTTAATTTACCAGAGAGGCAATGAGCAGAATGCGAATTCACCCTTTTCCTCTCTATAATTTATTTGCAAGTTTCTGAGAATTATTGGTCACGGGTGCGCGGCAACTCTTTGAATGGCTGCCTCAACCACCACCACCATCTGTGTAAATGTCACTCTGAGAAGGAAGAAATCTCTCACCCCTCGCTATTTCTCCTTTTGTGGTAATACTAATGTATTTACTACGCGACATATGGTGAATTTGAACACGGTGTTGCGGTGCGTCGCCTCCTCGGAGGGTGGTGTGTTTTCCGTCACTTCCCCCAGTCAGTTCGACGTCGACTACCTTGGTCAGAGCACCAAAGGGGATCTTAACCTTAATCCCAACTTGGGTATTTGAGAAGTCCATTCTTATTTGTATTCAATGCATAAATACAGCCGGAGGAATTCTCTGTATACTTATGGTTAGTCGTTTATTGGGAATGTAGGAACTGATGAGGAGGCAGGTTTGCAAGGGCCCATTGAGGAAGTGGCAAGGATGGAAGCTCAAGGGGCCGAAAACTTGCTTAATCACTTGGGCATTCTGGTAATCACCACGTGTTACTGTGTTTTTATATCATGTACTGCCGTTTCTACATATAAATAAATGTTGTCCTCATTTAGATATTCTTCTAAATCGATGCAGGTGCTGCTAAACAGTTCCACGTTATCAAAATCATACTTTATGATAATGCACTGCAAGTTACTTGTTTATCTACTATAGCCATTCTTACAGCCACTTAAAGAGCTACTATGTGAATTTTTTTCACACTTTATTGCAAAACATGAAGATCAAATAGCTTGATTGCTCTATAGTTTTATAGGAGTCTCTAATGTTATGATGCGGAATTAAAACAGTGAAAACTTGGGTAAAAGCAAGCTATTTGCCACTTTTTGAAGCTTGCTTGTCTATATACAATTTTTCTAATCTGAACTTTGTTTCTTTAACTTTTGTATCCATTTTCTTTATTTCTTATGTATGGTTGACTCTAATGTTATGACAAAAATGTACAGGATCCATTATCTGCAAGACATTCTCCCCATGGCATATTCTGTACCCGCACTCTAAATCTGCGTTCCATCAGTGCCATTGGATATGACATGGATTACACGTTGATGCACTATAATGTGATGGTACCCAAATGTTCACCTATTGTATCACCTATGAATTAGAGGGGCAACTACTCTTTTCCTTCTTGTTACCCTTGACCTGACATACAATTTTCATGGTTTCTGAATTTCATTTAACATTTGTTTTATACTAGCGTGGAAAATTATAATTTACTACTTTACAATATTGATATCAGTTTGCACTCTTATCTATTATTTTTATTTTGCTATCTGACACGATTCTCGTGTTTATTACCAAAGGTTATCAATTTTTCACTTTTGTCATAACGTTGTACTATTTCTTGATCTCTAAGTTTTCCTATGTCTTGCATTTCATTTCTTTAATATGTTTCTTGTTATAAATGCTATGGAAACACTATCTTATCTACTAGATGGAATAAATTGGCATCCATTTTTGTCATTTGAGACGCATTTCCAATCTTGCAGGCTTGGGAGGGAAGGGCTTATGACTACTGTATGGATAACTTGAAAAATATGGGTTTTCCTGTTGATGGACTGGCATTTGATCCTGAACTGGTACACTGTAATTGTTTCTCTACGAGTGTAGGTTGACACTAAGTTCCAACGAGTCTTCTGGTTTATTATGCTTGTAGGTTATTAGAGGCCTTGTAATAGACAAGGAGAAGGGAAACTTAGTGAAGGCAGATCGTTTTGGATATATTAAAAGGGCTATGCATGGCACAAGAATGTTATCTACTAGGGAAGTGAGGTGCAGTTCAAAACCTTGCTACTATAATTATTTGTATAACATGCAAAGTCTTTGGCCAATCTTTTGAAAACTCTGTATTTGATGTCCTAAATAATTGTTGCAAAGAACATGGTTCAAAAGATCTATATTAGATTACATAATTTTATGTGGTAGGTGGACTGCCATCAATTCAGGATTAGGATTATAAGTTTAATCATTGTAATTAATGTGCATTATTTGGCCAACTGAGGTCATTTTCATATATTGCCTAATAAGTTTCTATGCATGTTAGTGAGATGTACGGGAGAGAACTTGTGGATCTGCGTAAGGAGAGTCGGTGGGAGTTCCTCAATACACTATTCTCTGTATCAGAAGCAGTGGCTTATATGCAGGTAGATAGTGATTGGAGTATGAAAATATGGCAATATTTTAAACACTTGTTTATCTGGTTTTATTATCTCTACATGTAGTCTTCGTTCCATTTGTGTTCGCTGAAGCATGCTTTATCATTTCCTTGTACATTCTCTCTACAATAAGTTCTATTTAGTTCTGGTGTTTGCTTTCAGGATATTTGTTCGTATGCTGGGGTATTCCCTAGACTGAAATGTACTGAACTGAATTATCAAGTAATAAAAGGTTTTGATAGAAAAATTAAAATTTTGTGCCACAGAGAGTAATCAAATGGTGAAATTTGAGGGAAACAACTTCTATGCAAGTAATAACTTTATAGTTTATACCATGTCACCTGTAGTAATGTTTTAAAAAAGAACTGTGATCTCATTTGTGTTATTATGAATTTACATTTGTTTCAAGAACCAATTTCATTCTGGATATGATGTTAGATTTTTTTATTTTTTTATTTTTTTTTCAGAAAAAGCTATCATTACTTAAGATATATATACCGTCAAAGATTGAGCACAAAATGTCTTTTCTTATGCTGTCATGGGTGATCCAATCTATCTTTACAAACTCTTACTGGATTAATAGGACTAACAACAGATTTTTTCTTTATTGAAGCAATATTTTTTTAGAATATTAGGAAGTAAATGCATATCTGAACTTCTAAATTTCCATTAAACCATATAGTTTCATTTCTTGTACATATTGTGTTTTCTGGTTCCTGTACTAAGCTTGATAGATTATCTCGTGCTCAGATGGTGGATAGATTGGATGAAGGAGTTATAGCAGAAGATCTTGGTCCACTTGAATATAAAGGACTGTACAAGGTTCATCATTGGGGAGATTGTCTGGATTGATAATATTTAATGTATTCCATCATTTAACTTACTGCCTTGGTTTCAGGCTGTTGGTAAAGCGCTCTTCCGGGCACATGTGGAAGGTCAGCTAAAGGTAGTTTATTAGTTTACATTTATCTTTCTAATTTACATTGAATAAGTGTCAACTAATCCGAGACAACTGTACAGAGTGAGATAATGTCAAATCCTGAATTGTTTGTTGAACCTGATCCTGATCTACCTTTAGCACTGTTAGATCAAAAGGAGGTACAGTTTCTTTTTAATATCTTCAGAAAATATTGCTTCAAAACTGATAAATTTTTTATTGGTTTCTAAGTTTATGGTTACAAAACCCTTATTGTTTTAAGCATTTATTTTCGAAATAAGTTGATGATAAGAACTGAAAATCTCATCATCTGTTTGCATCAGGCTGGCAAAAGACTCTTGCTTATTACCAATTCAGATTATCATTACACTGACAAAATGATGCAGCATTCTTTCAATCGATTTCTTCCGAATAATATGATCTGGCGAGATTTGTTTGACATGGTAGGTAGAAATTTGTATAACATTTTTACTGCCAATCAAATTTCCGTCTATAATGTACCTTTTACATTTGTTGTAAGGCAGAATTAAACCTTTTATACATACCTGGGGCTTCAAATACGAAGATCTTATTGTGATTATTTTATCATTTTACTTGATACACACATTTTTTTCTAAACATCGATCAGTATACAATCCAATTGCTTTCCTAGTAAAATGTGAATAATAACTCTCAAGACGGTAATGATCGACTCTTTCCATATAGGTAATAGTCTCTGCCAGGAAGCCAGAATTTTTTCAGATGTCACACCCCATGTATGAAGTGGTGACTGGTGAAGGTCTAATGCGCCCATGTTTCAAGGCTTATCCAGGTGATTTTACCTAGTGTCTTAGCCCTTTTTTCTTCATGAAATTTGTTTCTATACATTTTAGATTTCCTTTCAGTGATTTATAATCACAACATATTAAAATGGAAGAACGGAAAAAGAATGCAGGCTTGCTGCTCATATAGCATGTACATATTTCAAATAATGATAATATGAGTTAAATGTTTCATTAGTCACTGAACTTGTACCTTTGCCATGATTTACTCACTAAACTTTAAAATGCTTTTGAGTTTCGAGTGGTCAATGAATTTTAACACATTGTACTCCATCACTCACTCACCATGTTCCATTAGTCGCTATACTTATACATTCATCATGCTTTATTCATTAAGCTTATACTTCCATCACGCTTTACTCACTGAATCTTAAAATACTTCCAAGTAGTCACTGAACTTATTGAATCCAAGTGTTCAAAAGTTGAAAATTTTGAAGTATAAAATACCATACACAAAAACGAGACCCTTCTTTCCTCTTAAATTACCTTTTGGTGGCTCTAAAAATTACATTTTGTTAGTATTGATTGATATTATTGACTCTTAAGTCGAAAATTTCATAGCCTTATTTGGGTCTATGATCTCAATCGAAATAAAAAGTAATTTCTCCATTTTATTTTCTCGACGTAAATGAATATTATGATCTAAATTAAGATTTATGTCAATTGAAGTTAGCATTCTTCTTTTCCCTTGAACATAGGACTAGAAAAAATATATCTTCTTGACCAATATCAATATTCTCGTCTTAAATTGAGGGTCTCGTTATATGGTCTATATTTACTTTATTTTAAATCGAGGTCAAGTTCCATAGAAAATCAACTTTATTTGAAAATATTATGAGGTTTAGTGACTACGAGGAAGCATTTTAAATTTTAGTAAGTAAAGCATAACACCAGTATAGGTTCAGTGACTAATAAAACATGGTGAGTGATGTAGTGCAATATGCTAAAGTTCAACGACCACTTGGAAGCATTTTAAAATTCAGTAAGTAAAGCGTGATGGAAGTATAAGTTTAGTAACTACTCGAAAGCATTTTAAATGTCAGTGAATAAAATGTGACATAGGTATAAATTCAATGACTAATGAAACATTTAACTTTGATAATTTTAGAAAGTCACACATGCGTCAGAGTTAAACATGGCCTATTAAAATTACCATGGTTAATTTATATGTTGGACTTACCTCATATAAGCCTGGTATAATTTGTCTTCTCTACTTCATACATTTGTGATCATACTTTTAATTTGGCTAACTTTTTAAGTATCTAATGAAATGGAAAACTTGAAGTCATTTTTAAAATCAAGCATAATGGTTTTACAGTTTGCATTCGTCCTATATAAGTAGGTAGATTGACTGTTAATTTTTTATCAATGTAATTTTATTCATTGGCTGCCTTTTTGTTGAATTGACTGCCTTTTTGTTGGATTGGCTGAAACTTTTATGTTTGCACGCCGATAGTTCTATAATCTCTAACAGATGAGAATGATCTATTTGGATGATTTAGTATCTGTATCATATTTGGTTTAGCCATCCTCAGTTTATTTGATGCTAGGAAATATTGTAAGTTATATTATTGTTTCCTGTAGGGGGCTTGTACTCTGGAGGAAGTGCTCAGATGGTCGAGAATTCCCTTGGCATTCATGGAGATGAAATTTTATATGTTGGTGATCATATATATACAGATGTTAGCCAATCCAAAGTCCATCTTCGGTGGAGGACAGCGTTGATTTGCCGTGAACTAGAACAGGAGGTTTGATTATATTCAGTCTTTACATCTATTGTATAACATTGATGAAGAATTGATGGGTGACTATGGAAGAAAGTAGACAGATATTTTTCCTTTTTTCTTTACTTTCTGTCTGAGTGCTATTAAGCCCCTGTTTGATGGCCTTAAAATTTAAAAAACATAGTTTTGAATAGTATTTTTTTGGAGAATGTGTGGCTAAAAGTAAGAAAAAGTTTTTGGTTTACGTCTAGGATATTTTATTGTGTGAATGTGTGGTTGAAAATGAGTATGAAAAATAAATTCAAGTAAAGTAAATGGAATCAAACAGGGACTAATTGTTTGATCTATCCCATTTTTCTAATTTATTTGCAAGTTTTATTTTATAAACAGTGATGTGTGCTTGTTTCTCTTTCGGATGTATATTTAATCGTCGGATGCTAATTCTTGAGATACACTTGTGTTTTTTACTATACTCTTAACATTATTTGGTTTTACTATGATGTTACAGTATAGTGCTTTAATTCATAATGAAAGTCATCGGGCCAAGCTGGTAGAGCTTATAAATCAAAAGGAGGTTGTTGGGGATCTATTCAACCAACTCCGCCTTGCTCTACAGAGGCGAACTAAAGGGCGCCCTGCTCAAGTAAGTGTGCATAGTCTATTTCTTCTAGTTAAACTTACCATAAGATGTTCTTTCAATTCCTCCATTGCTTCTAGAAATGTCTTCATATTCTTCTGCATGTTATCCTATAGGTGCCAATAGTTTTCTGTATTGAAGTTGTTGGTTGTAAATTTTAGAGGACGTCCTGTTTATGCTATCATTGGTGTTATTTCTTACTAGTTTCTGACATTACATGCATCAAAAATTATATATTGGATACTTGGACATATTTTCTTTGATTCAGCATGGCTACAATCTACATAAGTTGGTCACTGTTTATATCGGAAGGAGAGGATTTAAGGGGAAGTAATTCAAATAATTTTCACTTCAGAGCCGCCTGGAATTGGTTCATTGAATAGTCAATTTCAACATGACTGCTGAGAAAAATATAAACAAGTGGTTCCTTAAAATGGATAAGAGCTTTATTTTTCTCAATAAGATAGTGAACTGAAAATCCTGGTGATTTCCCGGGCAAACCTTCTGAATTACATAAAATCGTTCATTGATGCTTAGAAACGGTTTTCTAAACTCCATACATCTATATTTGAGAGGATGGTGGGTGGGGGAATTATGTACGGTTAGAAGATATATCATTGGTATGCTTATTTATAAAAATGTAGTCTCACTTAAATGAGAAAGACTCCACATGGTTTTCATTCTGAGTTTAGCATATTGTTCTTGTGTGTTTAGACTCTTGCTGCCACTCGTATGGATGATAAGGAACTCACAGAAAGCATACAGAAGCTACTCATTGTAATGCAAAGACTAGATGAGAAAATTGCTCCGATGCTGGAAGAAGATGGAGAGCACTTCAATAAAAGGTTAGACGCATTGTATGACCCCAAGTCTTAATATATTTACCCTTCAAGTTCACAGTCTAGTTCGCATTCGCTTCATCTCTCTCTAAGCCCGTTGGCAAGCAGAAGTTTCCCATGTGGTACATCTCTATTATTTCATAAATATGGACTCGAAAGTTGATCCACTGGATCTTTTTCTTTTCAGGTGGGGTTTTCTTTCTAGAGCAGGTCTGTGGGACAAGAGCCACTTAATGAGACAAATTGAGAAGTATGTGAATCTATCATGACGTTTACATATCAACCTCTACATATAAGAGTAGATGAAACTGAAAAACTTTGCATATTTTCTGTCTTAACACTTCATGCTTCCAAATTGTAGGTACGCCGACATTTACACGTCCAGGGTTTCTAATTTTCTCCACTATACCCCGTTCATGTATTTCCATGCCCAGGAACAGGTAATCTGGCATAAAATTTCCTATATTATGCATTTATATTGCTGAGATGATCTTGTTGGTAATATACAAGGAATGATTTTAGTATCTGTAAATACAAGGAGAACTTATGGTACCAGGTACTTGGAGTATGTTTGGTAAATCTTTTTTTAGATTATATGCTTTAGGTCCTATTGAAAGTGTGAATAAAAAGTAAAAATGTACAGATAAAAATGATGTTTGACCAGTTTATATGCTTAGAAAAGCTTTACCATACATGCACTAGGTAACTTGTGGGAGAACTCGATGATGCTTATCTTCTCAAATAAATGTGTTATATGAGTGAGTTTCTCTCGTGTGGGGTATATGTTGTGTAATTTCTAATACAGTTTTACTTTCTGATGCAGTCGCTTGCTCATGATTCATATTCATTTCATCGATTAGGTGATGACAAGAATGGCTGAGTTTCTATATGAGCTTATTTATAAATGGTTTGTAGTGAATGTTAATGTAGATACATGTCCTCCCCGATCCCACATGGAATATGTAGTCGACCATACTTCGGTTTGGCCACACAAGATTGACTGGCTATCGTTAATTGGGACACGAGCAAAACAACAATGGTTGTAACTCTTGAGGAAATTAAATAGGTAACCAAAGATTTCATTGAACTATTATTGTACTTGTAGTAATCTCTAATGTTTGATCCTTTTTGCACTTCTAGTCTTGACATTTTTTTTTTCCTTTACATTTATCTCTTCGAATACGATCTTATATTTGGGGTAAGTCGACAAGAAAATAAGGTTTTTTTCGAGTCTTTTTTGTAATGGTGATATTCAGTGACCAATTCAAGAGTCAAGAGAGCCACACACACACACACACACATGGCTTTTTTTTTTTTTTTTTTTTTTGGCCCCCCTCGTAAATTGTTTTGATTTTTGAATATTCAATACCAATTAGAACTTGGTCATTATTTAATTTCTAGAAAGTTTCATTGATGTATCTAAATAATCTCTTTTCCTTGAAGATAATTGATATCTTCCAACAATATCAAAGTTGTTACAATTTTTTAGATAAGAAATATAAAAATATCTAAGCTTTCAAGAAAGATGAAATAGAATATATAGTAGATATATGGTGCAATAACGAGACTGTTGCAAAAATAATACCTGCCTCCTATTCGAAGTGCGATTTATTTTTCTTTTCCTTTCTCTACAAACGTTTTCTATTAGTTTGTTTTATTCTTTGAAGTAAAAGGCTAATTTTGAACAATATTTTTGAGTTGTAATGAAAAAAAAAAAAATAATAATAATAATAATAATAATGATAAAGAGAGTTTACTCGTTTACTCTCTCTATCTAAATGAAACTAAGAAAAATATGAAAAAATCATTTATATAAATCTAATAGAAACTTGAATGTTATATTTATTTAATACTCCAGTCCTGTCACGTTGAGGAATTGGTGTCCAGATGGGGAATATAGTTTATAATTCTCATTCTCATCTTAATTTTTGTGTTTTTTAAATTAAATATTATAAGTACATGGAGTAATAAATGATGATATTTTGCTTTCAACCATGTCTTATAAAAAATTCTCAGCACGATGGGGTGGTTTGACGAAGAGGGTTATACTAAGAAAAAGTTATTTAATTTTTGGGTTAATTAAGTTAATAATCACTAAATTTTGAGTAATTGCGTCAATGCTCACCGAATTTTCTTTTTTATGATAATAGTCACTAAAATTTTTAACAATTTCACCAACAATCACTCGATAAAAAAAGATTAAGAATAACTCTGACGTCGGCGCTACTGGGTGACTACGTGCCACTTGACATCATTATTTATAATACTTCGTTCGGTCTCCATTTTGTGGAATTGAAAATGGGTGGAATAATTTTTTTTGAAAAATGAGTGGTTGAAAAAGAAGAAAAGTTTTTTAATTTACGTGTAATATTATTTATAAAAGATTGTATGGTTGAAAATAGGAGAGAGAAATAAAATGTAAATTAATGGGGGCCAAACGGGACGTCTCAAAATTCGTTATTTAAAAAAAGTGTGAAGATTTTTGCTCGAAAAATCATATCAAAATAAAAGTCAAGTATTAGGTTTTTTTACTGCAGTTTCTTCTTCATCTTTCTTTCCATCTCTTTGTTTGGCTCTCTTGTATGACTGCTTATTTTCATTAATTCGTAAGTTCATCTCATTGTTTTAATCTTTGCTTATTGTTGTACTTGTGTCCCTATTTTGTGTGTGTGTGTGTGTGTTTTTTTAAAGGGGGTGTTTGAGAGCCGTTTTTATGTAAAAAAAAAAAAAAAAAAAAAACATTTTAGAATAGTAAATTGATGTGAAATGTATGGTTGAAAAATAAGGAAAATATTTTGATTTAAGTGTAATATTATTTTAATAAAGAATATGTGATTGAAAAGAAGAGAGAGAAAAATACATTTTGAAAAAAAATGGTACCAAACAAGGCCTTAATCTATATCATCAATCTTTTATTGATCAACACATCTTATTCTTAATGATGATTTTTGTTCCAAAAAAATTTGTTAGGAAAGCATAAAAAACTTATTTGTCCCCCACATTTCTCAATAAGAAAAAAGTACAAAATTTTAATAAAATGCTAGCACCTCATTGAGAAACATGCTAACAAATGCTTGAACAAAACCAAATTTGGGGTAAGATGTGCTAATTGAAAGTTGATGATAAAAATATGACAAAAAAAATTTAGGACTACAATTAGTAAAAGTTGAAGACTCTTACTCTAATTAAATGTGGTGCTAAAGGTAGTGTGAATGAGATCAAGGACTAACCCGATTTTAAGAATGAAGTCTGTTAGGTCAATAACTTGAGTTTGAATCACTTGAGGAAATGGTGAAATTAAAAAAATTAAAAATATGTTGTGTATATAAAAAAGAAAATAATAATAAAAATTTATATATATATATATATATATTAATAGTTTTAACTCTACAAATCACATAAATGTCATGTGACCATTTAATCTTTAAATAAGGCCGTTTGATAGGAAAAATTTTCTATGGAACACCTTTTTGGTTGTTTGATTGCATAATTTTTCCCGGCAATTCATTTTCCACCCCCACCCCCTACGTGACCAATTTTCCCTGATTTTGTGGAAATCATTTTCTCATGGTTTTGGTGAAAATCCCCTTTTCCAGGTTTTTTTTTTTTTTTTTGGCACTGAAAATAAATTCTATTTCTATAATTGACAATTTTCATGAAAAACAAAATCAAACAAACACTAAAAAATCCAAAATTTCAAAAATTTTCAGGTGAAAAATGTAAGTATTATGCCCTAAGTCCAATCGACTTTGGACATAAATACTTTTATATATAGTTAATGCAATTAAATGGCAGATCTATTATTTAATTAATAGACAATTAAATAAATAATAGAGTCCGTAGATTCAAATATTTGTAATTTATTAATCACAAGGAGTTGTGATTGTGAGATACAAATTACATCTGATTGAATCTTAAATCATCCGTGGTCGTAAGTAATAATGAGATACGGATATCGTTATTACGGATAGACCATCACGTGTGGCATTTCTTACTTGTGAAGTAAGTAGCTGATCTCACAAGTTAAAGTGTGGTGACACTTAAATGAACACGTGGATGTTTGTTATAGAACAAAAACATTGGAGACCCGTCGAGAGATTCCACATGGATAACTATCTGAGTGTCGGTGGTTAATCTCTAACGTTCGGTAGTGAAATTGGTCCTTTGACTTGAGGTCGTCATAGTACCCTATATGAGGACAGTCATACTTTGGCGGTGTTGGATGTTGCTCTGAAAAGGGCCGCTAATACGATATCGTTCGGGTATGTCAAGAATCGTATGAAGGTTGTGATTGATCAATAAAGGATTCGTCACTCTTAGATAGTAGGAGATTATGATCTGCGTTTCATTCAATTAAGTCGATGATGAAATCCTTGGCCAAGGTGTACTCATAAGTCGAAAAGGAGTTTTCGACTTATATTGACTTAATAGTGGAGTGAAAGATATGA